CTGAATTGATGTGTTGATTTTGCCTGTGAAATGTGCTATCTCCTCAGGCTGTGTGTGACAGAAGCCCTGAAGTGGAAGAGTTGAAGTCCATTATTGAAAACCTGCAGGAGAACCAAGCTCGGCTTCAGAAGGAGAAGGCGGAGGAGATTGAGCAGCTCCACGAGGTCATTGAGAAACTGCAGAAGGAGCTCTCTCCCGGGGGACCTGTGACCCCCGAAATCAGCGACAGTCCAGCAGAAAGCCTTCGGACTGAGCTGGAGCGAGAGCTGCTGGGTGCCCGTGAGGTGGTGGCTAAGGACCTGGCGGAACCGGGGCCCCACGTGTGGGCACTGCAGGCCGAGTTGGAGGCGGCGCTGGTGGGCAAGGCGGCCCTGTGCCGGCTGCTGGAGGAGCGGGAGCAGGGGCACCACCAGGCCCTGGAGGCACTGGGGCAGAGCCTGCAGGCTGCTGAGGCAGCCGCCACCCGCCAGCTGGCTGGGCTGAGGCGCAGCGTGGCCCTCAAGGAGTCCGCACTGGAGGCGCTGGCCTCCCGCCTGGCGGAGTTCGAGGATACCCTGAGAGAAAAGGAAGCGTTGATTTCAGAGAAAGATCTAGAAATCAGTGCACTGAGCAAGCAGAGAGCAGCCCGCCTTGCTGAGCTAGAGGCCATGCTGGTGGCGGTGTCTGGGTTCCGACGCACCCTGGAGCGGCAGCCCTGGGCTGAGGTGGCGGAGCCCCCGGAGCTGCAGGCGCTGCGGGCTCAGTGCGCGCATCTCGGCCGCCAGCTGCAGACCATGAGCCAGCGGTTCCTGCTGTGCCAGCGGGAGCTGGGTCGGCACCAGGCCCGTGGGCAGGCCGGTGCCAGGAGCGGAGTCCCCAGTGGCACGGCTGCCGTCGAGACTGTGTGTAGTAACGGTTCGGACCAGGACGGAGGTAGCAGGCCGATGCACACCGTGCCCCACGGCCAGGACCCTCAGGTGGGCTTCCTCCTTCCTGGGCATGGTGTGGGGGTGGGCCAGAGTTCTCCTAGGAAGTTGGGATTTTTTCTTACTTTGCTACTTTTCAAAAATTTTCACGGCATTTCTCCGTCACCGATGGTGACGGGAAGCAGTTGTCAGTGGGTAGCTGTGAGTGGGCGGTGAATGTGGAGCAGTGTGGGCGTCCTGGCCCCTGAGCCTGGTGCGCAGCCCCAGTCAGCATGGCGCGGTGAGGCCGTCTCGCTGTCCGTACCGCTGAATCTGCCGCAGCGCTTAGTGGTGTCAGCTGGTGAGAACGTTGTCCTCTGGACGATGGGAAGGGGCAGTGCTGCCGTGACCGCTGTGTCCAGACTTCCCTGCCCCCTCTGGTTCTCAGTCACGGGCCTGTCTTCTCACACGCAGCCCAGGATTAGACCTCTCAGGCACGTGTGTTTCCTTCGGGAGCAGAAGCCTGTGTCCCTGGTTTTCATGCCTCAGTGGGACATGAGCTACCCTCGCTCCAGTGCTGTCTGCCGTCCTGCCCCCGGGTGGCGCCACGTCCTTGGTGTCGGGCACTTGCTGCAGGGATGGGGGCTGCCAAGGACCAGAGCCCCTTACTGGTGCCACGTGCTCGGCCCTGTGTCCCCTTAGGACAAAGGCGGTGTGATGGCCACAGCCTGTGGAGGAGTGCCACAGCTGACCCCTCTGACCTCCAGGTCCCTGTGGGTGGTGTGGTGTGGGGATCCTGTGGGCGGTGTGGGCAGGGACATCCTGTGGGTGTTATGGTCTGTGGGGCAGCCCCAGCTGTGCACAGCCCCATCCCCGCCTCACTGCACGCTGGCTCGAGGGCAGCCCCAGCTGTGCACAGCCCCATCCCCACCTCACTGCACGCGGGCTCTTGGGCAGCCCCAGCTGTGCACAGCCCCATCCCCGCCTCACTGCACACGGGCTCTTGGGCAGCCCCAGCTGTGCACAGCCCCATCCCCGCCTCACTGCACGCTGGCTCCCGGCCAGGCTCAGCTCTGCGTCTGACGCGTGTCGCTCTCCCCGTCACCGCAGAGCCTCGTGAAGGACCATCAGCAGCCAGCCCCCGGCTGTGAGGCTCCGGGAGGTGCAGG